ACTTTATGCAACTAAAAACTACCTAAGAAGTATGCTTACCTGCTTCAACTTTCAGCCATTTTTAATTTTACATACGAGTAATTAGAGAGGTTATTTACGGTACTATCAACTCGCATTTTCCTGTTGCTACGCCCCGTTTCCAATCCCTTTCATTTACTCTAATATCTATGTTTGAAGTAATGGCTACTCAACACAAGGAAATCTCTTTCGATGCTTTTTTGTCCTCTACTCCAACTATAAAGGAGCTAACTGAACATATTAATGTTAGCAATAAATGGTACCTTGTTGGTACAATGCTTGAGTTGGATCAGAAACGATTAAAAAGTATTGAAGCTCACGTTGGCCACACTGACGCCCACAAGACAGTAAAGATGTTCGATCTATGGCTAGAAACTACTCCTACTGCTAGTAGGAGACAAGTTCTGGAAGCAATGAGAGTGGATGCAGTGGAAGAAATTACACTTGCTCATAAATATGAAATGCATCTGAGGGAATTACACCAAACAATTTGTAAGCTAGTCTGAGTATGCTGTTCTAACCGTTATAATCTACCGGTATCTTTATTATTATTATAGATGTACCACCATCTACTGAGGAAGTTCTTATTCTTCAAAGGAATATTCAATCATTGAGTAAAGCTCTTGTCTCTCCTGTACAAGTGTCTCAACTGTTATACTGTAAGAGATGTATAAGTGAAGCTACTCTGGATCAAATAGAGAGGATAGATCAGAGGAGGTCACTGGATGACAAGAAGACCACTCTATTGACTGCCATGCAAGAAACAGTGTCTAATGACTACAGGAAACTTAAAGATATTGCTACAGTGCTGTCTGATGTTGAAGGAACAAAAGATATAGCCCAGGAAATCATGACCAAATATGGTAAGTCATGAATATTGGTAGAATTTTTATGGATGTGATTATAATAGAAGAGAAAATTCTTCAAGAGGATGATAGTACAGTAGTACAACCACAAGAGGCAGTAGGTGGTAATGAAAATCGTGCTAGTGATATATTGAGGAATAATTACAGTTCTCTCTCTCAGTCAATTATTGAACCAGTTCGTATGGCAAGGTTGCTTCATGAAGAGGCTATATCTGATGAGGCTCTATCTTGTATCATATCTACCAGAGATTCTGTCTCTGTCAGTAGAGCAGTTCTCCTCAAAGCTGTACGAGATGCTGTTCACTTCAATTACAAACACCTGGAGTCGTTTGTTACTGTATTGAGGAAGTTCTCAGAGACTGCTCATATTGGAGATACCATCTTTGAAGAATACAGTGAGTTATGCTTTTCTCACTGAAATTAAAAGCATATGTTTTTAGGAAAGCATTTCAACTATGATGATGATGATGTTCCAGAGAATGAAATATTTTTGACAGAAAGAAATAGAGATTCTCAACAAAAGCCAATGTCTACTAGTTCAGAAAGTATGTACAGCATAATAATTCTTTATTTCTATAATTAACAGGTTCATCACTTGATGACTATGAAGTGGACAAACATGGAAATCATAAAATTCTTTTCCCTCGTAACATGAAGAAAGAGTTTGAAAAAATGAGATCAAAGTTAGGCTCTACATTTTTTCGAGTCCGGCGTATTTTTAAAAGCAAGAAAAATGTTCTGGATATCAATGAAGTGAAGGAATTGATTAGTGACTGTTTTTCTGATCTGAAGCCTCAGCTGTCTGATAATACGACCATTGGCGAAGTATTGGATGTACTGAAGAGGAAGTGCAATATCATGAACATTAGTCCCCTTGAAGATTTAGCTTCTGAATTCAACATAAAAGATGCTATACCAATCATTGAGTCATTCAAAGAGGAAGCTAAGGATTTCAGCAATTCAGTATCAGTGAGTCTTTGCCTTGGTGAGGAGCTACAAGCAGTTGCTACTCCGTCTCATCTTTTATGTGAAACCGTCGTATTTGTGTTCAATTGGAATCCTGATGAATGCACACTGCAAGATATCAATGATGGTCTGTTTGAGTTAGAGCCACTTAATAGATTTAAATACTGCTTACAGGTTGATAAAGTTGGTCCTGGTCAATCAGTTGTGGTGACCTGCTATTGTCCTGCTGAGTACACTGGCTCACTGATAATGACTGTCCTTGGTAACATAGAGATACTGCAAAGGAAAGGATTGAAGGAATTTATACTTGGCAACTGTACTGTATGGCATGCTACTCAAGTAATAATTACAAAGTTTTAATTTTCAATTTTTATTTATTTTTTCTTATTGTATACAGGCACTGAGTGAGAATGCAGAGGGAGCAGATTTGCTAGCACAGATTAATGATTTGAAAGCTGCTTTAAGAGATGAAGATACAATGTTGATGAGTAAGAGATATATATCTGTGTATATTGTACATAATAGCTACTTAAACAGAGTTAGCAACAGTCAAGGAAGAATTATTAGGAAACATTAAAAATGAATTGGAAGCATTAAGAAAAGATTTTCGAGAGAGTCAATGCATTATTGGTGTGATTTTAGTTTTATAGTTTTTAATATAATTATAATAATAGTTCAAAAGGAAGAAGTGATTAATGAACTGAAGGAAGAAATTTCATCACTGAAAGAAAAACTTTTCAAGAAAAAGAAAGAAACAAAGAACAATAACAGTATGTATCATACATTAAACTACTGTACCATCAATACCATTCTACATGTACATGTACCTATAGCATTGACTAACTATAATGTGTGTGTTTGTGTGTTATTAGAGGATGGAGATGTGGCATGGAGTCAGTTTGGTGTGCAATTGACTAAACCATCAGTAGATCAATTCATGGAGGTAATCAGTAAACTGGAGGAAAAACATAAAATAATGACATTCAGTAAGTGTGAGGATATCAAGTTGCTAATACCAACTATATTGGGGAGAATAACAATAAAAGGACTTTTTATACAGTCCTCATTCTTATCACGTGCTGATATTCTCTCATTCTCTTCTCAACTATCAACCAACAAATCGTTAACAATTCTAGCTCTATCTACTAGTTCAATTGATGACAGTGGGGTCATTGCACTAGCACAATCACTTCAAGATAATCAAACATTAAAAAACTTAGTCCTTAGCAAAAATCCTGGCATTACTTCAACTTGTGCTCAGTCACTGGCTAATCTTTTACTCAATAACAACACACTCAATTGTCTTTACCTCCACAATACTAACATTGGTAATGATGGAGTAATGATACTAATGGAATCACTCAAAACCAAAAATACACTTGATGAACTTGGGCTAGACAAACGACATGAAAAAACTTGTGCTACTGTAACTTATTATGAGCAAATTAGAGACATATTAAAATTAGAAACATATTAATTATTTTCTGCAAGTTGCTGCAGACGTGAAGTTTTAATTTTTAATAATAATTATTAATGATACACAAATTCTATTTATAATGTCATGCTAATCTTAAAACATACACAAACAATAAAATTCTATTAATCATGTGATAGTCATGTGACAGTCAGTCAGTGCAGCTGTTGATTCTTAGTAGACGATAAATACCAAAAGAAAAGACACCCCTCGGTCTCTGATACATCATCACAAGCTCTTGCTTTATTAATATCCTCCAATTAACCCATGGCCACCACTTATGAACACTTGATAACTACTATTAGTGTGTGTGGGTGGAACTGATACAAGGGTACTCACTCTATCAATGTGACCTCTGATTAGTGGGTGGAGTTGATGAGTGTTAGCTCCTCCCACTAGCGATAGTGTAATAAGGACACCAGTAGAGGTACCAATCAGTAGCTGGGACTGTGTACATGTTAGTGAAGTGATGTAAGGATTGGTGCATTTGTGTTTCTTTATGATGGGATCATAATCTACAGGAAAGAAGAAGAGAAAATACAGTTTGCATTATGAATTTGATATCAAGTACATGTACGTACCCAATATGTCAATGAAAAGAATATACTATACATGTACACTATATTTCAAAAATAACTAAATGCAACAGTTTTTAGCTCATGATTACATGATGTACATTATGTACATGCACTATTGGTCTATGCTTACATCTCAGTGCTGATGTTACACAGTAGAGCTGTGAACCTGGGCCACTTAGCATAACCGGTTAACTGGTCACCAATAACTGACGGTTAATCGGTTAACTGATTGTTAAATGAAACTTAATAATACCACTATAAATATGTAAGAATAGTAAGAATTACGATAAATAATAAATTGTAGAGTTTGATTTAGTTGGCCAACACAACTTATATGCTCTTTTCAATGATATATGGCATTGTCTTGTGGGTCACAAAGTTCAATTTACTAGATATTGGAAGTGTTCTTGCCTGAAATATGATAAATTTTAACTTCACAGTGCATAAAATCATTAATTTCATAAAACCGGTTATAGCTAAAAATAACTGATAACCTAAATTATGCTGTAACCAGTCGGTTAACCGGTTAACCTAAAACCGGTTCACAGCTCTATTACACAGCTGCTACAATCAACAGTGTGAACAGTTTCCATGACAGCACCATTGAAAGAGCATTATGTGAACAGTGAGTGAGTTCTTTAAAGAAATAAACACCAAACCAGCAGCTGCAGGAGTAGTAGCAATAGAATTGGACCTGCTGTGGTGGTGGTAGGGGTAGGTGAAGAACTCTTTGGACTTGAAGTTCTCTTTGTTTGACTGGTTGATGGTTGAATAGCTTGAGGAGAAGGAGGAGGTATTATTAACTGATCTATTTGATCTGATAAACTGACTAACTCCTGCAAAGATAAAAGGGTCAGTATTTTAATCAATGATATTACTGAGAATTTTAAAAATTATTATAATTGTAAATTATTACATGTACATGTACTATCCATTCCAATGTTCATAGGTCCTTACTTTGCATGTTAATGTTTCGGAGTTCACGCCCACTATCCTGTTACCAGTTTACACGCCCCCACACTCACAATAGCTTTGATTGGATAAGAAGAAACTGATATGAACCTCTCGGGTCTATCAATACCTTTAACTAGAAAAATATTAAAATATTTCGACAAAAAACTCGGCCTACTTTTATGAAGATTGAAGAGTGCAATTCGACCGCTACTAAGCCCAACCCACACGTAATCCTTATCAGATCAATACTTAACAAACTAGATACATGTAACGAAGCCACACCCACTTTCAAAACATGCAATATCCCATCTTCGGTACCCAACCAGAGCCACTGGTTGCCCTCCGGAGTAGGAGGAGCTAGTTTGTGTCTTGACTCTTTTTGAGTTCATGAGACGATGTAAGATGAAGTCCTGTGAGAAGAAGGCAGGGTCAATGGGTGTGGTCTGTCAGTTATTGATTGAGGTGAAGGACAGAGTAACTCGTCAGGTTCTAGAGGAGCTCGATCAGTAGGAAGGGCAGTGGGCAGAGTCAGTGGTAAACGAGTGGAGGAACGAGAGTCGTCAGGAAAGGAAGAATGAGCTAAAAAATAAAGAAAATATAAATCAATTTTTATCATAATTTCTATGAATTAAAACAATCACCAAACATCGCATCTCTTAAATCATAAAAATACATAATGTACTGTGCTATTTATGCAGCTGGTTTTGCTCATAATCCCGCTCATTTTAAAAATCTACAGTACTCTATTCCTTACCATTAGCTAGTGTGATGTTCATATGTTCAACACACAAAGAACAGATCAGCCTTGAGCTGGACAGTGGGAGGGTCGCTACCAGTTGAGGAGGAGTGTCCTTTGACGTACTCCAGGAGTTTAATATGGTGATGTTCCCACGCCCACACACATCATTAATGCACATGAATAACTGATTGTACATACCATTGGGAACAGCAACGGGGGATAACTATATATAAAAAGAGTTAATATAACAATAATAATAATAATAATAATAATAATAATAATAAATTAAAACCTCATAACTATAAGTTAAACCACTTCAAACTGCACACACTAGACCATATGATTTCCCACAAATACATGTATCAACTACTCCACACACATATACATGTACATGTATGTACATATACATGTACATGTACATGTAATCAAATAAAAAGAAATAAAACTTAATTATAGTAATAGTCACAATATACATGTACATGCATGTATGTACCTTCAAATAATGTACATGTACATGTATTTCATACAATATATTTCTTTCTTACTTCTGATCCTACTCTACAAGATGGCAGTGTCACATGCCACATGAACTGAGGTAGTGCAGTTTTAGGAGGATCAGTGTGTGTCCTCTGGTAGTGTGTGCTGCTGGGGCCTTGTTGTTTGGGTAGAGAGAGTTGAAAGTGAGTGTAGGGTGTGCTCCCAGTCTTGTCTGTCCTTCTGAGATGAGAAGGAAATGGATGCCTTGTTTGGAGGAGAGCTACAAATGAATGAGATAGATAATTATTGTTATACATTCAACAATTAATAACGATATGACTTTATTACAATATTTTAAAATATATTATTGTCTTATGCTATGTAAAAAGTTTGAGCTGATTTCAACTTGAATTTTTTAAGTTACGGCCATTTACAGATATTGGCCAAAATCTGAAAAAATCCCTGAACTATATAGCTCATGGTTTTTTCTAAAAATTGGCTCCGAAATTACCCCCAATTTTTATTACATTTTTGATACATATTGATGTACTTATGCTATGTATAAAGTTTGAGCTAATTCCGACTTTAACTTTTTGAGTTATGGCCATTTAATTTATGTTTTTTCCCAAAAACTAAGTTGTACATTTGTAATTTTGTACATGTACAGTACATGTACATGTACATGTACATACATGTACCTGTACATACAGAAAAGATTATGCTAAAAATACAATGACATTATTTTCATAAAGTGTGTATAGATACCATTCTGTGAGAATACTCCTCAAAAGCTTGATGTACAGCAGAGTCCCAGGTAGCAGCTACTCTATTCTTAGGATTCAACTGCCAATACCTACAATAGAGAGTAACAGAATACTGAAATACATGTGTACTGTACTTACATTGTTGGATTATCAAATCCCATTTGATCCTCCTACAACAAAAAACAAAGTGTAACAAGTAATGTAAAACAATTGATAAACACACACGCTCACACACACACACGTGTAATATTCAACATGCATGTAACATTCACCATTCTCAAGTTATAATGTGCCTAGTATAGGGATATTTGATATCATGATAAAGCCAGTTAAAACTTGATCCTCTCAATAAATTATGGCTCACAATGTACTGTATGTAAACATTTGCATCTACCAAAAAGCTTACAGAAACATAGTAGGGTCCAGCAAAATCCCTAATGACACCAGCAGAAGTACATATACCCATATGTCCAATAAATGGGAAAAACCACCTGAAAGAAAAATGTAAAAATCCAATAAACATACACATCTAAATGTGCATATACATTTACAGTACATGTGAAATTACTATTTCATGTAGGAGCCTGGGCTTCTACCATATTGTGGGAAATTTTCGAGGATAACAAATTTCACAAATTTCGTGGATTTTTTCATGATTCACAAAATTTAATTCCTTGAAAATCAATTTAATACGGTACAAGATGGCAAATTAGTGGAGATTCGTGAAAATTAATTCCGCAAGCTTCCGGATACGGGTCATTCGCAAAATTTATTATCCTCAAAAAAAACCGCTATACGGTATTTTCTATCTTTAACAGGCTTCTATTTGAGGGTTCTCCTATACATGTACTTTATACAGGATTATACCATACGTATATAGCCCCAAAATAGGCTTCTAACATTCCATTAAGAAAGGTTTCTATTTATTGGAGTTGTGACCAAGCAAACCCTCTATGAGAGTACATTCACTTCATACCACAACTAATGAACTACATGTACATGTACAAGGAATACTGCAAGTCCTTATATAAAATCCCAAGCTTCTGCTTCTATTGAAGACAGGCTTTTATTTGAGGATACATGTACATGTATATGTACAATGTACAGGCACATGCCACTCTACATATACATGTATACATCTACATGTACATGTACTGTATTTCCTTGAATAAGGGCCTAGGCGTTTATTGCTTAACAGAGGCAAAAATCACTGAAAAAATAAAAATAAAAAGTGCCAAAACCCGGGCTCCAACTTGCAACTCTACGTTCCGAGGAGTGATGATGAACAATTAGGCTATTTGGGCTACTCTAAACACAAGGGCACATAAATAATACAGGCTGAAATATGCGTATCTATAGTGGTAATATATTAGTGATAGGCACATAGTATTTGAGTAGGGCCCCTATTAATGGTAATACGGTATAGTATAGCTGGTAATTTTGGAGGAGAAAAAATTTGGCAAATTTGACATTTTGATAGCCATTCGCCAAACAATCATGTGTATGCTCAATGGCTCAGAGCCACAAATTTACCAAATAAGAACTTGTCAATCACTAAAATTTATTCCTCATAAAATTAACAGCTACTTGCATGTATAAGTACATGTACATGAAAATGAAATACAGTAGTTTTGCATAGCCGGACACAGGGTTTCCCATGAAATTTTGGCATAGTACTCATGAAGTTTATTGTCAGTGGATTGTCAAGTTGATTAAAAATTAGGAGACACTGTACATGTATATTCTATAGTACAGGGTATTTCGACAAAAATAAAAGGGAGAGACTTTTCCCTTTGATTTTTGTATGTTGTGTAGAAAGCTTGAGCTGATTTTGGTCAAATTTGGATTTTTAAAAAATTATTAAACTTGCTCAGAAATTAGGCCAAAGACCTAAGGATAAGAACATAAAAATTTTTAAAAAAAAGTTAAGCAGGATTCCGAACGACCAACGAAAATACAAAATGAAAATCCTACTCGTGACGCAAACTCTACTCTACATTGCAAGGTGATCAGTAATTCTTACATAATAACATTGAAAGTACAATGTAGAGTAGAATTTGCGTCATGAGTAGGATTTTCATTTCATATTTTTGTTGGTTGTTTGGAATCCTACTTAACCTTGTTTTTTTTTAATTTTTTATGTTCTTGTTTGTAGTACAGGGTCACGGGCCAAATTTCACCAAAAATGAAAAGGAGAGAATTCTCCATTTTTATTACATTTCCTGATACAAATACATGTTCTTATGTTGCATAGAAAGTTTGAGCTGATTCCGATCAAAATTGGATTTTTTATGAATTTTTAAAGTTACTCCAAAATTGAGTAAAAGTCCTGATTCTGATCAAAATTGGATTTTTTACGAATTTTTAAAACTCTTTTTCAAATAATGTTAGTACATGTACGTACTGTGTATATCAATAATTGATGTTTGTACATGTATTAATAAGTGTTCTGTCTCTCCTTCTTTCCTCAGTGTTTTAGGCGTATCATTAGAGTCTGAAGATGATGAAGATGCTATTATTGAGAAAAGATGTCAAATGAGGAAGAACATTGAACAGAAATAGCAATATGTAAGCCACACCCACTAATTAAAGGGTTACATGTACCTACATGTATAAACAGA